ACGAAACATCTATGAGATTTTTGGGATTGATATTTGACTCAAAGTTAACGTGGAAATGTCATATTGCAGAATTAATCTATAGGTGTAAGTCAACGTTGAATGTTATTAAGTGTCTGAGTTCTACCCGGTGGGGAGCTGATACAGAGGTTCTGATAAAAATATACAAGTCCTTGGTTCTATCAAAAATCGACTACGGATGCATTGTGTACTCATCCGCTCGACGTACTGCACTCAATAAGTTAAACACTATCCAAAACCTAGGACTGCGGTACTGCCTTGGAGCATTCCGTACAACGAGAGCAGCTAGCCTTTGCGCTGAAGCAGCCGTCGAGCCATTAACTCTAAGGAGAAAAAGACTCATACTCTCATACGAAGTCAGTACATCTGCTACGCCACATCATCGGAATTTCTCTCTGTTAAGTACGTATGATGAAACCTATAATAGAAGGCCTACTATCACAAGACCCCTCAGTGTGAGAATTTGTGAAATATCTCGAGAGCTAAATTTGACTAAAATGCCAGTATATCCACTCAAAAATGAAGCCCCACCTTGGCAGATCCCATCTGCACAAGTTAACACGGAGCTAACTAAATTTCACAAAAAGGAAACACCAACAGTACAACTGAGGTCTCATTTTCAAGGTATCCTGGAACAGTACACATGTGCCGAAACCATCTACACAGACGGTTCGAAAACTGCCTCAGGAGTTGGTTGCTCGATTATCATAAACGGGGTGGCCCATTTATGGACTCTCCCACCAATGACATCGATTTTCACAGCCGAACAGTATGCAATTTTACAGGCGCTTAAATACTGCCAGATAGAGTCAAAAAGCAACCTTACTCTTATAGTCAGCGATCCTTTGAGCACCCTACACGCTATGTCAAATCGCTATTCCCGTGATCCGTTAATCTTAGCATGCCTTCAGACATTAAAGGTGTTGATGGATGGCGACAAGAGGGTAGTCTTTATATGGGTACCAGGACACGTAGGTATACTAGGAAATGAACTGGCAGATCAATCTGCAAGGCAGGCTGCTGCCGCAACTGGAATTGGCTGTAAAATAGTGAAAGCACCAGACTTGAAAATGAAAATTAGACAATGCATAACAGAAGCATGGCAAAGACAGTGGAACAATGGACTTACTCAGCTAAGAACAATAAAACCTGATGTAACAAAATGGACACCTAACGTCAAGATGAGTAGAGAAGAAGCCGTCCGGATACATAGACTGCGTTTGGGCCACACAGCATTGACACATTCCTACTTACTCTCTGGCCAAGGCCATCCAAATTGTCCGTCATGCGAGGCACGATTAACTGCAATGCATATTATGATAGAATGTCCAGCGTTAAGCAACCTTAGAAACAGTTTTGGTCTGTCAAGAGATTTCGCAGAAAATCTGAAAAAGCCTGATCTAATAAAAAACACGATATCGTTTCTGAAATGCACGGGCTTTTACTGGAAACTCTAACTATACTCAACCAAAATTGAATCACATAACAACACTCAGCTAATGACCCAGTAGTCGATGCTGCATAATCGCAAGAACTACTACTATTATTATTATTATTGTAATTATTATTATTATTATTATTATAATTATTATTATTATTATAATTATTACTATTATAATTATTGTAATTATTATTATTATAACTATTATTATTACTATTATTATAATGCTTATTATAATTATTATTATTATAATTATTGTAATTATAATTATAATAATTATTATAATTATTATTATTATTATTATGATTATTATTATTATTACTATAATTATGATTATTATTATTATTATAATTATTGTAATTATTACTATAATAATCATTATTATTATTATAATTATTATTATTATAATTATGATTATTATTATTATAATTATTGTAATTATTACTATTATAATAATAATTATTATTATTATTATTATTATTATAATTATTATTATTATTATTATTATTATTATTATTATTACTATTATTATTATTATAATTATTGTAATTATTATTATTATTATAATTATTATTATGATTATTATTATTATTATTATTATTATTATTATTATAATTATGATTATTATAATTATTATTATTATAGTTATTATTATTATTATTATTATAATTATTGTAATTATTACTATTATTATTATAATTATGATTATTGTTGACATTATTAGCTACCGAAGCGGACAATATACTAAAGAGCGACATATGGCCGGATGGGGTAATAATCAACCGGTTTTTTCGCTCTAGAAGGAGATCAAACACCTCAGCGGGTCAACAACGCCCAATGCCTACGAACCCTTCACATCAATGTACAGGGCTTGCCAAGCAAGATTGATGATCTCAATTTGTGGTTAAATGATAATCCTGTAGATGTATTATGCATTTCTGAACATTGGCTTAGTGATGATCATTTGGCAATGGTAAACCTAAACCAATATTCTCTTATATCCTTTTACTGTCGCCCTCCAAGATTACATGGTGGTGTTGCTATATTTGCACGAATGAATCAGCAAATTAAACCCTTGGATTTAAAGAATGTTTGTGTTCCATTCCATGCTGAATTTTGTGGGGCAACAATTGGCAATATTGCTATTATAACTGTTTATAGATCTCCTTGTTTAGGAAATCCTTCATTATTTATTGATGCCTTCAATAGTTTACTGAATAGTATTTATTCTAGACATAAGAACTTATTGATACTTGGCGATTTTAATTTAGATTTCAGTAGTAATGTTGAAACAGTGACACACCTTTGTAATATTTCAAATTCATTTGGCTTACGTCAATGTATTTATGAAAATACCAGAGTTACACCTACTTCGGCGTCTTGTTTGGATAATATATTGACCAACTTGAACAATGATAATATTGAGACAGGGACAATAGATTTAAACATTTCCGACCACTTAGGAATTTTTTGTGATTTTTTTATATTAAAAGATGAGATTCATTCAATCAAACCGCCCAAAAGACGCATTATTACAAAAAAAAGAATGGTTTCATTTGCCAACAGAATCCATAGTATGGCGTCCGACATGAACGTAGATTCTAACTCTGCAGATAACATGGCAAATAGTATCTACCGTTTAATATCAAATTGTATCGATAATTGTTTTCCGTTAAAAGCTGTGGATAAGTCAGCTCACAAAGTTAAGTGGTATACGCAGACACTGAAGCAGCTAAGGAAAGATATGGTGAACGCAAAGAGCCAGTTTTCGCATAGCGGGGATGAGCGTGATTGGGAGAGGTATAAGGATATACGTAGCATATACCGTCAAAAATTGAAATTGGAAAAAAGGAACTTTTACTCTGAAATGATACACCAGGCGGAAAATAAAACTAAAGCAATCTGGAAGATAGTCGATAGCGAGAGAGGCATCAGGAAACAGAAACACACAAACGTCTCAAGTGATGAATTCAATAGTTTTTTCAGTACTATTTCTTGTAAAATTCTTGAGGGCATTGAAAAGCCTATTATTAATTACTTGTATCTCCTCAACCGTACTCCCAAGACACCGCATTCGTTCTTCATGTCTGCGATACTCCAAACAGATGTGAGATGTGCTATAGCACAACTAAAAGACTCACCCTCACTCGACTTCTATGGTATGAACAGTGCTATGTTGAAAATAGCCAGTGAGGATTTCATTGAACCTTTAACAATACTATTTAATAAGTGTGTTAATGAAGGCGTGTGGCCTGATGCTTTTAAATTGTCAAAGGTCATTCCCATTCATAAGAAAGGGAATGAAGATAATCTTGATAACTATAGGCCCATCACAATAATTCCATTAATAAGTAAATTATTCGAAATTGTAATCAAAGAAAAATTAATAAAGTACTTTGAAAAGCACTCCCTCCTTTCAGCTTCCCAATTTGGTTTTCGGAAGCACTGTTCAACCATTAAAGCCATGCTTAGTTTTCTTGAGGATGCTTTAGAGTGCATTGACAAGAGAACCACCGCTCTAGCAACTATGTGTGACTTAACCAAGGCTTTTGACTGTGTAGACGCAGTTAAACTGCTTGACAAATTGGAGTACTATGGGATCCGTGGCAAGTCATCCCAGCTTATGAGATCATACTTAGTTAATAGGAGACAGATGGTTAGCCTTGATGGAGTAGAATCCCAGGTTCTACCGATTACGAACGGGGTACCCCAGGGCTCTGTCTTGGGCCCTCTATTATTTTTAATCTACATCAATGACCTCCCACAAAATGTCAACAATAGCAAATGCTACCTTTTTGCAGACGACACTACTCTGCTCTCCAAGGCTACCCAACTTGACCAGGCCCACAGTCTCGACCAGGTTAAGCGGTGGTTCTCCGCAAACAAGCTCAAACTTAATGAAGCGAAAACCAGTACGCTAAGAATAACTTCCGACAAATGGAATGAGACTTCATCATCCGTAAAGTTATTAGGGATCGTTGTGGATAGCCGCTTGACCTGGTCGGAGCATGTGGACCAGGTGTGTACCAAGATCTCCAGACAGATGTTTATCATGAGGCAACTGGCTCAGTGTTTGCACAGACAAACCATGAGAACTGTATACTTTAGCCTCATTCATAGTCATCTGTCGTATGGTATCATCCTCTGGGGTAATTCTGTCAAGGCCCAAAAAGCATTTACAATGCAAAAGGCTGCTATACGGATTGTAGCTGGCGTCTCCTACGATCATACGTGCCGCGGCTTGTTCAAAGAGATGCGCATACTGCCGTTAGCATGCCTGCTCATACATGAGACCCTTTTACATGTTCACGCAAACCTGAGTACTTTTTCGATAAGATCAGAGACACACAGCTATAATACAAGATACGCTAATGATATATCATTACCGCAATCTAGGATCGCCATGACACAAAACAATAAGATTAATGTGTCGCTTTACAATAACTTTGTTAGATATCATAAGCGGTCCAATATTGAGAAGACGTCTAACAACAGTTCTCTAGGTTCGTCAAAACTATTTGTTAAAAAACTGTTTCTGTACTGTAAGTGAATATTTAAGTGCATGTGATCCTAGTGATCAGTGATCGTGTGTAGAGCAAGAAGACAGACTGTATAAACTTTATCTAGTTTGTGACCTCAAACATGTATCTATATGTATAAGTGGTCAATAAATGGTATGGTATGGTATGTATTATTATTATAATTATTGTAATTATTACTATTATAATAATAATAATAATAATAATTATTATTATTATTATTATTATTATTATTATTATTATATAATATTATGGTTGTTATATTATAATTATTGTAATTATTATTATTATTATAAGTATTGTAATTATTATTATTATTATTATTAGATATTATTATTATTATTATTATTATTATATATTATGATATTATTATTATTATTATTATTAAATTGAATTAATTACTACTATAATAATAATAATAATAATTATTATTAGTACTTATAATTATTATTATTATAATTATTGTAATTATTATTATTATTATTACTATTATTATAATGCTTATTATATTATTATTTATAATTATTGTAATTTAATTTAATTATTATAATAATATTATTATTATATATGATTATTATTATATTATTATTATATTATTATTATTATTTAATATTATGATCGTATTATTATTATATTATTGTATTAGTATTATTATTATAATTATTTTATTATTATGATTATTCTTATACATTATTATTATAATTATGATTATTATTATTTAATGTAATTTAATTATAATATTATTATTATTATTATTAGTATTATTATTATCATTATAATTATTATTATTATTTAATTATTATGATTATTATTATTATAATTATTGTAATTATTATTATTTTATAATTAATTATTATAATTATTATTCTTATATTATTGTAATATTACTATACAATTCTTATTGTTATTATTATTATGTTATTATTATGATTATTATTATTATATTATAATTTGATTATTATTATAGTATTGTAATTATTATTATTATATTATTATAATTATGATTATATTATAGTTATTATTATTATTATAATTATTATAATTATTACTATTATAATTCATTGTAATATTATTAGTATTATTATTATTATTACTATAACATACTATTATTACTATTATTATAAGGCGTATTATATTTATTATTATTATTATAATTCTTGCAATTATAATTATAATTATTATTATTATTATCATTATTATAATTATCTTATTATTATTATAATTACTATAATTATTATATTATTGTTATTATTATTATTATTATAATTATCATTATTATTATATTATCATTATGATTATTATTATTATTATAATTATTGTAATTATACTATTATAATTATTATTATTATTATTATTATGTCGCCCTCCAAGATTACATGGTGGTGTTGCTATATTTGCACGAATGAATCAGCAAAATTAAACCC